TAAATCTATTATGACCCTTTCCCTCGGGAACAGTTCTCTTATAGTTCTGGCCGTTGCATTTTCTTTTTCCTGTTACATAAATATTATAGTTTTTTTTACCTCTTCCAGATGTTTTTCTAGTGTTTTTCAATCCAGTAAAAACATTAAATAGTAGAAAAGCTATTTTTACACATGTTTTTGAGTTTAATAGGGTTGATTTACTTTTTTTTGCTTTCCTTTTATTCAAAATTCTCGCAGACGTTAACTAAATTTTCATTTTCACTACCCAAAAAGTGATGATGTTAAAAACTTGTGGTATGAACACAGCGATAGGCAAAAGGTCAGGGCACAGAAACAGGTGTATCCCAAAAACAGGTCCTCGGATGATTCAATATGTGTACATATATAGGGTTATTGAGTTCAAATAAAAAATCAAACCACATATTGGTAATTAGCCCGCTTTTGAAATTGGACATTATTTTTTGTATACCTGTAGGTAACATCTTGCCGGACATGTAGCCACACATCTGATCAAGGATGGTATATCAAGAGCTAATGCAATCGTCCAGTCATGTTACCAGTCTAGCTTCGTCCCTGTACCAGCTACAGCAGCGGGGTTACATCTGCGACTGTACCATCCAGACATGCCAGGCAAACCTTAACGTCCACCAGGTGGTGCTGCTGGCAAGTGGCAGTCCTTACTTTCGAAAACAATTGTGTCGAGTGACTAACACTGGTCAGGTGGATTCCAGTTCTGTGCTTCTCAAGGATCAGGACTTGTTTGTTGTTCAGGCTGTTGTCCAGTTTATGTACACGGGGGAGATGTACATAACGCCATGTAATGTGGACAAAGTTTTCAATGTGTGCAGTCTATTGGGACTCGAGGAGGCTGTCAAACTCTGTCAGATGTTCAGACAGACACATAAATGTAGTACTGACCAGGAAACATTAAAGGAAACTGCAGATTCAGGCCTGGAATCTTCTATGCTTAAAGAAAAAAGTTCTCTAGAGGTGCAAAAACATTTTAGATCAGAAAACATTGTCCTACAGAAAAATATCATATCTCGTGCTGCTAAGAACGATGTCACATTCGTTGACATGGCGCAACCTAACATTCCTTCTTCAACTAGGCGTAGAGAGGGAAGTGACAAGGGGAAAATTGATACAAATTTTAACCTTTCTAGATCTGATGAGGGCAACAATGATAACTCTGATATCCAAACTAAAGAATTCTGTGAGGATGAGGATGGCAAACAAGAGGCAGAATATGCAGCCCCTCTTCTCAGATCAACTGCAGCTCGAGCAAACAAACCTGACTCAAAATCTCAACAGGATTCTATTATTCTAAGGTCTCAGAAAGCAAAATGTTCACTTACAAAATCTGATGATGTAAAAACAATACATAAAGGGTTTCGAAGTGGAGATGATTTGAATGACAATAAGAGCCAAGGCAAAGGAAAACGGTTCAATAAAAAAAGGAAAACTATGGAAGGGAATATTTCTAATGATCTTGAAGATGGAAAACAAACAAAAATATTAAGACTGACACCGAAAGGAAA